ACATCCTTTTTATTAAATGATTTTATTTCTGGTCCTATTCTTTGTTGTGAAATCTACTTCAATTAATATTAACAAAGTCACTCCAGCCTTAAATTATTATAATATATATAATAATTTTATACTTTACATACAAAAATGCAAATAGGTCAAAAACTAAAGCATGCTTCTTATAGGCAGCATACAGCTTAGTCCATCCCCTTTTTATCCAATATGACCATTTCTGCCTATTTATTAGGATAATTAGGCAAACATATTTAATATGATTATTAATATGGAGGAGTTTTAGTCTCTTGTACTGCTTTTTGTTTTCTGTTTATCTCAATTCTTTTCTCACTTTTCAACTTTTTCTGCCTTCTTTTTAATTATGTTTTATCTATTTTATCTTTCTTCGTTAGCTTATTATCCATAATGCTGTGTTTTGCTCTTTTAGTGATTTTTTTTAGAGTTTAGAGCTTTAAGATGGTGTATTTCCATTTCTTCCTTCCTGACCTTCATGCTTCTGTAGTCACACATTTTATATATATTAGTTATAACCCCCTCACTATGTTGTTATTTTTGTGAATGTCATCTTTTGAAGAGATTGAATAAGAAAACCTTAATATTTGCCCATTTCGTTTTCATTTCTAAGTATTTTTTCATTCCTTTGTGTAGATCCATATATTCACCTGTTACCATTTTCTTTTACACCTGGAGGACTCCCTTCCTCCTGCCTTCAGCATCTCTTGTAATGTTGGTTAGCTAAAAATGAATGCCTTTACTTTTCACATGTCTGAAAAGGACTAGTTCATCTTTGTTTTTGAAAGCAATTTCCATTTGGCATACAATTCTGTGTTGAAAATTTTGTACTTTTTTTCTGGTACTTTAAAAATACTGCTTCATTGCCTTCTTGCCTGGCAGTTTTTCCCAACAAGTAATAGACTCCTGCTTCCCTGTGTTCCTCATGCATAGCACGTTTTCCCCCACTTTGGCTACTTGTGAGATTTCTTTTTATCACTGGTTTTGAGCAATGTGATTATGATGTGCCTTATAATTTTCTTTATGTTTCTTGTGCTGGGGGTTTGTTATATCTTTAGGTTTATGGTTTCATCAAATTTGGAACATTTGGGCCATTTTTTCATCTGAGTTTTGTTTTTGTTGTTTCCTGCATCTGTTTCTCTCCTCTTTGAGGATTCCAATTACACATATATTAGGCCGCATGAAGGTATCCCACACTCCCTGATGCTTTTTTTTTTAATTCTCTTTTTTTCTTCAGTGTATTTCATCTTTTCTATTGCTGTGGCTTCTATTTAATTTCTGTTAATAGTTTCTGTTGCTGCGTCTTCAAGTTATATGATCTTTTCCCTGACCTTAATCATCTGACCTTAATCTGACCTTAATCCCTTCCAGTATATTTCTCACCTCAGGCCTTTTGGTTTTTATCTCTAGTTCACTGTGGGTCTTATAGATATCTCCCATGTGTCTACTTAACCTTTTGAGCAAGTGGAATATAGTTATAATAACTGTTTTAATGTTTTTTCTAACATTGTTTAATGATAATTCTAACATCTGGGTCAGTTCTAAGCCAGTTTCACGATTTTTATCGTCATAATGGGCTGTATTTTTCTATTTCTTTGCCCACCCCCCAATAAACTTTTATCGGATGCCACACATTGAAATCTCTACCTTTTGGTTACTAGATATTTCTATATTTCTATAAATATTCTTAAGGTCTGTTCTAGAATGCAGTTATGGTACTTCAGAACAGTTTGATCTTCTCAGATCTTGCTTTTAAGATTTGCTAGGGGGGACCAGAGCCATTCATTATTCCTCACTATGGACACAAATCCCTCTGGGTACTCTACGCAGGCCCTCTGAGTCGTGAGGTCCTCAGCCTGGCTGGTAGGCACAAGCCCTGTTCTGGCCTCAGGAAATTTCCTCCAATGCATGCGTTCACCAGGACTTGTGAATACTTGAAGGGAACCCTTGGCAGATGTTCACGTTCTCTCACTGTGAAGCTTTCTCCTCTCTGGCACTCTGTGAACTCTGGCCATCTTCATCTCCGCAGACCCTCAGCTGTCAGGAAGTCCACCAGGACTCGTGCAGGCCTCATCTCCCTGTGCTGTGGCCTGGAAACTCTCCAGGCGGTGAGCTGGGTGACCGTAGGGCTCATCTCATTTATTCTCCATCTCTTGGGTATCATGTCCTTTGTTGCCAGTGATTCATTGTCTTGAAAAATGTTGTTTCACATATTTTATCCAGTTTATTGTGGAGTTTGTTTTTTGGTGGTGGTGGTTTTAGGCAAACAGTATATCTGGTCCCTGTCACCCCATCGTGACTGCAAGCATAAGTCCAGACGTTGTATGCATTTTCAAGGTAATTTTCTGTTAGATTGTATATACACTGTAAGAGAGTAAAGGTGGAGAGAATCACAAGTCTGATTTTCCCAAAAGTCAAAGATGTAAGAAAGCATGTAAGTCCTAAAGACCATATCAAGACAAGGTGAACAAAAAGAGAAGGACCTAGAAGTTAGGGCATCGGGAGCTAAAGTATGAAAGTGTCTGAGGTACCTAAGCCAGCAGGTACTCTGTGGCCAGAGCAGAGGTCAAAAACTAGGGCCTGCCAGCAAGATGCAGTCCTGGTATCTGTGGTTGGAGCTACTGTGTATGTGCACATGTGTGTAATTTTCAGTTGCCCAAATACAAAAAAAAGAAAAAATTCACATAAATAAATGCAGACTTTGGACTCCTCTTGAAATTTATCTGAAATTTTGGACCACAGTTCCACAGTCTTCCATGGCATCCAGCGCTGGAGCTGAGGCAGCGGATGGCCTCTCCTGCGTGGTTCATCCACTCTCCAGTTCACCAGGTTATTATTACCCCTAGCTTGCTTCTCTCATTCACCACATTACCCACCCCAGTCTCCACAGACACCTGACTTTCTACTTTAATGCCCGAGAATAGATTCCCTGGAGAGAGATTGTAAAAATTATCGTAGCATATTTTTTTAGAGCTCAGCCTTTCCTTTCTCTCATCACTCTCCTCCCTTCTAAATATACTTTTTTCTCCATCTTTTTAATTTCTGACCTTCTTGTCAGCCATCTATTTTATTCACCCTTATATCTCTACACCATCTTCTCTAGCTGTCATAACAGCACCACAGGCTGGGTTGCTTAAGCAACAGCATTTTTTTCTTTCACAGTTCTGGAGGCTGAAAGTTCAAATCCAAGGTTGCAGCAGGGTTGATTTTTGGTGAAGCCTCTCTTCCCAGCTTGCGGGTGGCCACCTTCTTGCTGTGTCCTTACATGGCCTTTCCTCTGTGCGAGTGTGGAGAGAAAGAGCTCTGTGGTGTCTCTTCCTCTTGTAATGAAGGCCGCCAATTCTGTTCTGTAGATTAGAGCCTCACCCTAATTCCCTTATTTAACCTTAATTAACTTCCTTATAGGCCCTTGCTTCTATTTTGGAATCAGGACTTCAGCATGTGAATTTTGTTTTAATTTTTTAAGTTTTTAATGTTTATTTTTATATTTGACACAGAGCTTGAGTGGGGAAGGGGCAAGGAGAAAGGGAAACACAGAATCTGAAGCAGGCTCCAGGCTCCGAGCTGTCAGCGTAGAGCCCAATGTGGGGCTCAAACTCATGAACTGTGATGTCATGATCTGAGCCGAAATTGGACTCTTAACCGACTAAGCCACCCAGGCACCCCTTCAGCCTGTGATTTTGAGAGAACATTGTTTAGTTCATAGTAATCTGTATTCAATCCTATGTATTTACTTGATTCTGAAATTCTTGCATCTGTATCGAACTCTTCTACCATTCCCAGACATACTAGAAAGGAGACACTGTCTTCCACTTTTTAAATTTCCCTTTTTTCATTGATTTTATAGTTTCTTTTCTCCTAACATTATTTACAGTACTATGCACTTATTCACAAAGTATTTGTTTTATATTTTACTCTTACTGTTGAGCCATTTGGAAAGCTGAATTCCACATCCCACAGGTCAGACTATCACAGCTTTTTTTGTAGTGTAGTTGAGAGGCAATGCTTCATTAGTTTCCGGTGTACAACATAGTGATTAAGTAAGTCTTTTCATTATACTGTGCTCACCACAAGGGTAGCTACCATCTCTTACCACGCAACGCTATTATAGTCTCATTGACTATATTCTCTGTTCTGTACCCTTTATTCCTATGATTGTTCATTCCATAACTGAAAACCTAGATCTCCCACTCCCCTTCACCCATTTTGCTCATCCCCCCACTCCCATCTACTCTGGCAACCATCAGTTCTCTGTATTTATAGGTCTGATTCAGCCTTTTGGTGTTTATTGGCTTGTTTTGTTTTATATTCCACACGTAAAATCATATGGTATCTGTCTTTGTCTGACTTAATTAGCATAATACTCTTTAGGTCCATCCATGTTTCACAAATGAAAAGATCTTGTTCCTTTTTATGGCTGAATAATGTTCCATTGTATAGATATACCACATCTTCTTTATCCATTCATCTGTCAGTGGACACCTGGGTGGCTTCAGTATCTTGGCTATTGTAAATAATGCTGCAGTCAACACAGAGGTAAGTATCTCTTCAAATTAGTGTTTTCGCTCTCTTGGGTAAACACCCAGTAGAGGAATTCCTGGATCATATCACACCTTTCTTATGCATAAATTTCCTTCACTCCTTTTTGTCATTAAGGAATCTCCAGTTATTTTTACACATATACACACGGTTTTTATTTCCATCTAATTTGATAAAAAGTTTTCTGGATTTTCCTGGGCATCTAATATTTTTCTGAGAGAAGTAAAATTTATTTTATTCTGTCCCTTTATTGTCATAGAGAAGGACCCCAAGCAGTTAAGATTCATGTCTCTACATTATTTTGAGCAACCCCCTGTGTTTTTCTCTCATATCCATCCATCAATCTCCCCTCTGTTCCCACTACTCCTGCCCTAAATCAGAGCCTCATGTGGGCTATTGCAGCAGTCTTCTTACAGGCTTCTATTTCTCATCTTTCCTTCCTGTAGTTCTGAAGTGGGCAAAGAGCAGAGCCGTGAGGACCGAGAACACATAATGGATATGCAGGGAAAGAAGAATGAGCAAACCAGTCAAAAAGTCACCCTAATAGAGGTAAGAGGCAAACCAGGAGAAAGTTAGCATAGAGTCAGGGAAAGACTGAGGGAAGGTCAACCATGACAAATGCCAAATAAGTCATGGAGATGAAAAGTACAGCTTAGGGAATATAGTTGATAATATTGTGATACCATTTTTGGTAACGGGAGGCGGGTGACTACACTCATCGTGATCACTGAATAATGTATAGCATTGTTGAATCCATGTGTTGTACACCTGAAACTCACATAATATTGTATGTTAATTGTACAGGAATTAAAAATAAATAAACAATGACAGATGCCAAAGTGAGGAGAAGGAAAATAAGGACTGAAAAGTGCCCTTTTGGGATCTGCTGTCCGGAGGCCATTTATGACCTCCAAGAAGATCATTTTGATGAGAGTCCTTGAAGCATGAATCAGATGGTCCCCAGTGCAGAGGGAAAAGATAATCAGAATAGACTTTTTCCAGGAAGCTATACTTCAAATGAAAGAGAAGGCTGGGCAATAACCAGTGGAAAACACTGGATTTAGAGATCTTCGTAGAGAGGAGAATGAAGAAAAGAGTTACCAACTGAAAGGAAAGACCCCAGGAGAGGAGCCATTCAAGATAAAGGAGAGGTGAATAATCCCTGGAGACCAGAGGAAATAGATTAGAATTTGAAACAAGGAGGGGTCACTTTTCTACTAAGACAGGCTAGTGAGACAAATGTGTTAAATGTGTTTCCTTGCGGGGGATGGAATGTAGGAAGGGCAGGAAGACCTTTCTGAAGAAGGGACCTATGTTTTCTCCATTAGACACTGGTGAAGTTTATCTGCTAAAAGTGAAATGTGTCCACTTTTGTGAAATTGTCACTTGGGGGAACCAGATTCAAAGTTTTCATAAGTATTTTTAGACTTTAATTATAAAAAAATTAAATCTCCGTATACCAAAAGCATATAGATGAATAGTTATATAATCTTGGGTTAAGAAATGACTTTTGGGGGCACCTGGGTGGCTCAGTCAGTTGAGCTTCCGACTGCTGCTCAGGTCATGATCTCATGGTTCATGGGTTTGAGCCTCACATTGCGCTTTGTGCTGACAGCTTGGAGCCTGGAGCCTGCTATCGCCCTTTCTCTCTGCCCCTCCCCCAACTCATGTTCTGTCTCTCTATCCTTCAAAATTAAACATTAAATTTTTTTAAATGACTTTTTATCATTGATAACAGAATCGGAAAACATTTTAAAACAAATTTTAATAGTAAGAATTTCAAAATGATTTACAGCAAAATCTAAAAACATATAATAACCCAGGATGAGGAAGGACTTCACAAGATATGTGACAGATAAAGAATGAATACCTTTCACATATTTTTTAAAATTCTTAAAAATCAACAAAGGAAAGAAAAATTGGCAAAGGGCATTCAAAAGACATTCTTAAAGAAAACGAATTTATGAAAAGTGTCTACCTTCCAGTGATCAGATAACAAAAATTAATAAATGATACAGTCTTTTTCCCCCTCATAAAAGGCAACAAGTTTCAAACTTATAAAACCGATTGGGGGACTGAGTTTCCTCCTACACTGCTGGTAATTGCATAATACCAATCCATTCTTTGTGGGGGATAGCTTGGTGATCCTATTTTCTTTTTAAATTTTCAAACTGTTCTTGTCCTTTGATCCGACAGTTTTAGTTCTAGGAACTATTTTCCTATTTCTGAGAAAATATTCAAGTATACATGGGCAGATTAAAGGCTGTCCCTTCAAGCAATGTTTTAAAAATAGGAAGAAAAAATTGAATTTCTATGAATATAGAGCTGATTAAATTAAAAACAATTTGTATAAGGGAATACCATGTGACATTTTTTGTTACATTATAGAAGTATGTTCATAGACATGGAAATATGTTTATGATAAATGTTTAAGTAAAAGAAAGGTGATTATAAAGTAGTTTGTATACAACATACTCAATTGACTCTTGAACAGCGCAGGGGTTTGGAGTACCAATCCCTGCTTTATGCAGTTGAAAAGCCATGTGTAACTTTGGTTCTCCCAAACAATAACAGCCTACTGTTGACCAGAATACTGATAACATAGTCAATTAACACATATTTTGTATGTTACATGTATTATGTAGTGTTCTCTTACAATAAAGTAAGCTGGAGAAACAAAAACATTACTAGGAAAATCATACAGAACAGAAAATACGTTTATATTATTTACCAATATGATCAATTTATATTGTCAGTTTACAAGATGGATTGTCTGTCCATACCCACATTATTATTGTCTTATATGATATAAAACACTGCCAGTGTTGTAGATATTACTAATACTGACATCAAAATGGAAAGATAATGTGAAAATTCATATTCATTTGAAGGTGTAACTATTCCTGCATTGATAACAGAGACGCAGCAGATTGCTTTACGGGAGCCTAGTGTAATCATTGTAATTGCTTCACAGTCTCCTGGCCTCTGTAACGAAGGAATTGTTATGGCATACAGTATTATATTTCTATTCATAATACCAATTGGAAGCACTGTTACTTTTTTTTCAAAACAGCTCGTGTGATGAAAGGCTGATAAGCAGTTTTGCTAGGGGAGAGAGAGGCATAGTGTACTGTAATGTAATTCTTTGAAAGCAGAGTTTTAGAAAGGAAGAAAACTAACACATTATTAATTTTATTACATTACACATAACTCCCTACATAAAGATAGTCTGTCCACTTCCATACAAGTGTTGCATTTAATGTTCTACACAGTGAATACTTAGGTGATGTTGATGATGATGATGATGATGACGACGACGACAACGACAGTTAATTAGATTTTTGCACAAACTATACACACCCATACACATAAGTTTCTTGGGGTGCCTGGGTGGCTCAGTCGGTTAAGCATCTGACTTCAGCTTCAGGTCATGATCACGGTTCATGGGTTCGAGCCCCTCATCGGGCTCTGTGCTGACAGCTCAGAGCCTGGAGCCTGCTTCAGATTCTGTGTCTCCCTCTCTCTCTGACCCTCCCCTGCTCATGCTGTCTCTCTCTCTCTCTCTCTCTCAAAAATAAATAAACATTAAAAAAAAAGTTTGTTGGCTGTACGGCATGATTATCTACTAATTAAATGGAAGTGGACCATCATGAAGGCCTTCATCCTTGTCATCTTCAGTAGAATAGGCTGAGGAGAAGGGGGGCAGAAGGTCTTGCTGTCTCAGGGCAGGCAAGGGTAGAAAAGGAGGCGGGAGAGGCAGGCACATTCAGTGTAACTTTACAGAAATGCATTTTAATCTCTGACTTTTTTGTTCTTTCATTTCTCTATAATTCTTTCTGTATGGTACCAACCCTTTATTCCACCATTTGCTTTAGTGTCATTGCCCACATCATAGAAGGGTCCCAGTTGTACAAGAAGTCAAAGCCATCTTGGATATTCAGAACCCTTCTGTTGGACGGGCTACTGTCTCATGTCAGTTTTGTTTTCTGGAACTGCTTCTTCTACATCTTCCTCATCATCTGGCACTGGTTTGGAAGCCTTCATCTCTGTCTGTTCATTCCTCTGGTGTGGTGTCTATTAATTCTTGAATTGCTCTAAGATCTATATCTTGCCCTCCCAATTCTCTTGTCTTATCTACAGTCTCTTTCATGATTCCCTTGATTGGCTCTGCATAAACCCCATTAAGTCTTGCGCAACATCTGGGTACAGTTTTCCCCAGCACGAATCTGTTGTTTTGGGCCTGATGGCTCTCACAGCTTTTTCTGTAACAATGATGGCGTCTTCGGTGGTGTCATCCTTCCAGATTTTCATGATATTCTCTCTGTCGGGGTTCTCTTCCATAGCATGGACAGTCCTTCCCGTATCATGTGTGTCATGGGGCCTAAAGGTTCCTATGACCCCCTTGACCTAGAGGCTCAATTAGAGATGTCCTTGGAAGCAGGTAGACCACTTCAGAGCCTTCAGTGTTGAACCCATGGGGTTCTGGGTGGCCAGGGCCATTGTCCAGTGTCAAAAGAACTTTAAAAGGCCGTCCCTTACTGGCAAGGTACTTTCTGACTTCAGGGACAGAGCATCCATGGAACCAGTCCAAGAAAAGGGTCGTCGTTTGTCAGGCCTTCATGTTGTACAATCAGAGGACTGGCAGTTAGTCTTTACCTTTTTCCTAAAAGGCTTTGTGGTCAGCAGCTCTATAAATAAGGGTAGTCCTAATCATAAACCCACTGCATTTACATAAAACAATAGAATTAGCATACCCCTTCCTGCCATACTTAAATCCTGGTGCTTGCTTCTCTTCCTTACGAATGGTCCTTTGTGGCATTCATTTCCAGAATAGAGCACTTTCGTCTGCATTAAAAATCTGTTCAAACAGATATCCTTGCTTCTCAGTGATTTTATTACTAGGGTCTGGGAACTCATCAGCTGACTCTTGGTGTGCAGAATTGCTTCTGCTGTTATTTCGACTTTTTAAAGCCAAATCTTTTTCTAAAATTATCAAACCATCCTTTGCCAGCATTAAATTCTCCAACTTTGGATCCTTCACCTTCCTTTTGCTTTAAAGTATCATATGATGACTTTCATTTTCTTAAAGCATTAGAGTCTATAAGTAAGTCTTTCTCCTATATCAGTCCTACACACAGAAAAGTGACATTTTTCAATATAAGATAAAAAGATGCTTTGCAGGGGTGCCTGGGTGGCTCAGTCAGTTAAGCATCCAACTTGGCTCAGGTCATGATCTTGTGCTCATGAGTTTGAGACCCATGTCAGGCTCTGTGTTGACAGCTCAGAGCCTGGAGCCTGCTTCAGATTCTGTCTCTTTCTCTCTCTGCTCCTCCCCTGCTTGCACTCTTTATCTCAAAAATAAATAAACATTAAAAAAAAAAGATAATTTGCAAAATGCACAAGGTTTTCATGCCAGCTGGTGTAGCTGTAATCATCAGCGTCATGAATTTCCTTTTCCTTTTTTTAAAGATTTTTTTTTAATTCTATTTATTTTGAGACAGAGTGCACGCATACATGAGTGAGCCAGGAGAGAGAATGCCAAGCAGGCTCTGTGCAGTCAGAGCCCAACAGGGGGCGCAATCTCACAAACTGAGATCTTGACCTGAGTGGAAATCAAGAGTCAAACGCTTAACCAACAGAGACACCCAGGAGTCCCTTCTTTTTCTTTTTCACAATGGTCCTTATACTGCATTCATTTACCTTGAAAACTGGTGGACAACCACAGCTTCAGACCTCAGTCTATGGTACATATCAAGCAATTCAGGTTTTTCTGGTAATGTCATGACTTTGCTCTGCTTCTTGGGATCACTTCCAGCGTCACTGGTGACACATTGTCTGGATCCCATGGTGTTATTCAAGATTTACAGCTTTGCACCAAACACAGTGAAAAGCACACAAGAACTGTGAGACATCACTTTTTACTAAAAAACACAATTTACTGGAGAGATGAGATGCTCAGGCATATATATTTCTGTATATCCTATGTGATAAAAGAGATTAGTATCTAGATATATTTTATACATTTATGACATACCTTTTTCTTAATTTTTTTTCAATATTTCTAGGCGACAAGGTCTGCAGGTATTTTCAAATTGTCACAAACCTCTGAAAACTTTTCCAGCATATTCATCGAAAAAATCTTGGGTCTAAGTGGACTCATGCCGTGCAAACCTGTGTTATTCAATAGACAGCTACATAATCAAATACTGAACAATATACATTTTAAAAAGTCAGTAGTTATTTCTGAGTAGTGGTATTGTGATTTTTTTTCTCTCATTTACACCTTGTGTATTTACTAATTTTTCTGCTCAACATATATTGGTATCTACTACTGAGTTGTTTCTTTTAAAATGAAAGTGATTTTAGGAATTTTCTAATATAGCCCATTCTACATCTAAAGAAACCAGAGCTTCAGAGTCACAGTTGTCAAGTTGCCTGAACTAGGACTTGATCTTCTGGCTCCAAGTTTGGGGCTGTTTGTTACACAGTGCTCCGTTAACTCTGGTTAGATGGCAAGCGCTTGCAGACAGGCTCTCCTGTGCCCGCCTCTGTTCTCTCCAGTACTTAACCTGGTGTCTAGCCAAGTAGTAAGCCTTCAGGGAGTCTTTACTGGATTGAACTTCTTGCACAGTAGGGCCCAATATTTTTATGCGTCTTATTTTTCATACGTGACATACATACAAACATTAATCCAGTTTCATATCCATTTTCAGAATCTTGTTATGCAGATTTTTCTTTCTTCATCTGATCTGCATTGATCGAAGAAGGCCCTCAGTTTGTTATTCTGTTGCTGTGTTGGCTTAGGGGCTACATTTTGAGGAGACACCTCAGAGAAAGACCACATTTGGATTCGCTGTGGGGTCTTTCGGTTGGCTGACATCTCTTCCCTCAGCACGTCTCCATCCACAGCCACAGCTAATCACTCACACGCCTCTCCTGCTCCAGTCGTCGAGGTGTGCACTGCATGTTTCTGCTTCGCGGGTATTCTGTCCCTTTCCTCCCTCTCATGAGCGGTCTCTGCCATTCTGTGTCCACGGCTCCTTCCTCTTCTTAGTCTGGTTCACTTCCCGTAGAGATGTTATCTACACGGCCTGCTTCAGCTTGTTCTAGTTACATTTCTCTGGAGGGTTCCCTCTCTGGAGGGTCCTCTGGCTTCTGTGTTGACTTCTCACAGTGTAGTCTCCACCTGATGAATGTCACTTGTCCTACATCCTCTGCACGTGCAGGATGCAGCCCACTCACTTCCAGCTGCTCTTCTCTCCCTTCCCTTTTCTGTTTTTCTTCTTTGTTTTTGTTACCACTTTTATAAACTCCTCCTCTGACTCTGTTTTGCCTTGTTGTTCTTCTAAGATCCTTTTACCTTCCTCACGGCCCCTTGCAGATGTTTGTAGGGTTTCTCAGGCCCTTGGTGCCCAGCATCCATTTGAGCCTTTAGTGCTTTCTTTCCCATTTTTATCGGATCCTACTTTGGAACACGTTTTGTGTGCTTTCCATGTATACACACAGGGACAGAAATGAATGACACCCCTTTCTGGCCCCAAGTGAGACTGTACCTTGGCACAACAACCCTGTGCCCTTTTAGACTCTACTTCCTTTGCTTTTGTGATCCTCACTTGAGACATTTTTGGACTTGTGCATATAACACCACCTTATCTGTGCTGGCTCTATTCAATAGATTTAAAGTCCGGAAACACGGACTGACAAAGGAGTTTTTTCCCCCTCGTGCATAAATGTCTTTCATCAAAAAAAGAGATCAAAAAAGATAGTTTAACTATTTATTTAAGATTGAGCCTGTCCCTAAAAGCCCAGATGTCATCTCCTGTGCTACCAGGGAAGGACCTTAGGAAATGGTTAGCCTGCCCTTTCATGCAACGATGCCTGAGCCTCTACTTTCCCAGGAGTGCTTGGTAGAACTGACCACCACCATAGCCAGATTGTCGCCATTCTTAGGTGGCATTTGCCTTAGGTGGCTTGATTGCCGAGCAATCAAGCATGAAGCCCTTTCTGTTCAGAGAAGGACAGCAACGTTTTTATCTGCTTCCAGATACTCACCAGTGGCATAGGAATAGTCGCAGTAAAGTGTGTCAGGTTCAACACGACAGCTTATCTTCCCCCTTAGTTTTTGTATACTTCCTATATGGTCTCTCAGAAGCTCCTTGTTTCAACCATGTATTGGTTCTTGATTTTTATTAGTGACATAATTTGATTTATTTAAGAGTGGCATCTAGATATATAATTAACCATCACTACCTTTGTTAAAAATGACCCACACTATTTTTTGGTTTTATTCAAAAACAGTGTAAAAGTTAACCTACTTGTGAAAATAGACACAGTCCTTGACTAAATGAAGAAATGCTATTTAATAAGTTGGCCTATATCCTTTCCATTTACTAACATTGGAACAGCATCCATGACATTTTTTTCCCCAGTGAATGAAGAACTTTCTGAATTCTGATTGCCTGCTCTTCATTTCTGGACGTTACCCAGGTTTGGAGTGCTCAGTGTCTGTAATTGAGAAGTGTGTTTCTTGTTTGCTTGTCAGTGTTCGAGCAGCCCTTACATGACCGCTAACGGTGCCAGGAGTGTTAACAGTGTGTTCAAGAAGCACACTAGGAGTGTGTGTGTGTGTGTGTGTGTGTGTGTGTGTGTGTGTGTTACACAGTGTGTATTATCCATGTTGTTGCCAGGGCACACTGAGATTCGGTGGCGGCCAAAAGACATTGTTTAAGTTCATTTAGTACTTTTTGTGTACTTTTCTCCTAGAAAAGAATTGAAGAAGAATGATGAGACAACGAAATACACAGAAATGAAATGACAAATTAAACCAAACAGAATTTCTCTTCAGAGTGAAGAACTTCCAGATACTAAGGAAGGAAGGAGGGACCCGCTACTTTTTGTCCTTATGAAAGAATCTAGAAAAATCAGAAGTGAGGTCTGAGTAGAAAAATAAATGTGGCCTTTTGACCTTCATTATTTTTAAACCATTGTAATTGTTGTTGATCAAAGCATTGGTCCTGGTATGTATTAGTTATTGCATCAGAATTACATTCCCACTATTGGAAAACCAATAAAGGAAAAACATAATTGCTACTCAGCCAACATGACGGGTAAGTGTTTGCACTGTTAGGATGTCCATTAAGCAGTCATTTAATATTCTTATATCTGTATTGTGATTATATGTGTGATGTTATGTTCAGAATATGAAGTATATACTTTTGAAATTTAACTTTATTTAAGAGAGAATAGCTTCAGAATATTGTGTATTCAAAATGGTCCCAGTAAGAAAGACATTAAAAGAGAACAAAGTTGTTTGTTTTGAATGAGTCATGTATGTAACTTGATACATACAAACTAAAGATGGCTTTTGGCGACCTTGGCAGCAGTGTTTCAAATTACTTTTTAAAACGAGCATTTCATATTTAAGCATATAGGTAATTTGTAGACTTAACATTGTTTAATATTTATTTTAGTCTTAACATTTGTTCTTATATTATTACATTGCATTATTTATTTCCTGAGTTCCAAAACAACGGTGTCATTACCATGTGACTATGTATTTTAAAGTGAGATATTATATTAGAAAAGTTCATTTCTTTGTTTTGTTTCTTGATTCTTCTCCTTTCTCAACTATGTGATTATAAGTCTGTCAATAAATATTTGATCCCACAAAGGTCAAAACTAATATAATGCCAGAAAATTTATTTACCAAATCAGACCATTGATTCCATTAAAATAAGAAGTGAGAAAAACAGTGTTGAGCATCGAGGTGTAAAATTTGCCCAGATGTATACCCGATATAAAATATCTTCTAGTTAAAATATGTGTGGCTCTTATCCCTGCACATGTCGTTGAGGCGTGAAAATTGGTAAACAACCCCCTGCTGTGTAGAACTTAATAGGGGGGAGCATTTTTGAAGGTGGGGAGTGGCACCGATGACCGCCAAATTCCCTCAGCGATCAGCACAGAAGTCTCTTCTGGTGGCACAGAGCCCCCAGTGTCCCAGGTGGACACATCTGTGACTCCACATACAGCTCCGGCCCAGGCAGCTAGGGTCCCCCTTGTAGAAGCTAGTCTTTTCTGTCTTGTGAATGCACTTGATAATTAAAAAATAAAAATACTCATCTCTCTGCAATTTCAGCGCATAGTTTTGAGATGCTTACTGATTCTCTGATTTTAGTTTTAATCACAAAGAATTTCAACAAGTTGCAGAAAGATTTTAAATCAAGACAAATGAAATGTGTCAAGGAAGCTAAACATCTGCCGAGATCTCATATGAAAAATAAAGGGTTATTTTTATAACTCAACTACTGAAGACAAAAATAACAACTGAGGCAAAACCAGGAAAAGTTGGTTTTACTCAAAGCCCCGTCCTTCTCTTTTTTGTCCTATTGACAAATAAGACTCCAGTTATGTCCACAAATAGATTAATAAAACATCTTTACTGTGCCCTCAGACATGAGATGGGGTGGGGGTGATCATAAAAGTGCCCTCCAAATAGAAGTCCAAATTATAGTCAAGTAGAGGAATCAGACACAAGAATCTATTTGAAGATTCTGATACTGCACGCTTTCTTAGTAACAAACTGGTTTTCTTTGTTTATCTTCATTCTGAAATCATTGAATTTTGTCCCATTCTATGAAGTCTCTTTTCTCCAAATAAGTAACATTTTGACAGGTCTTTCTCTAGATCTAAACAATATTTTTTTTTAATTTTTTTTAATGTTTTTCATTTATTTCTAGGAGAGAGAGAGAGAGACAGCGTGAGCAGGGGAGGGTCAGAGAGAGAGGGAGTCACAGACTGAAACAGGCTCCAGGCTCTGAGCTGGCAGTCAGCACAGAGCCCGACGCGGGGCTCGAACCTACGAACCGCGAGATCATGACCTGAGCGGAAGTCGGACACTTAACCGACTAAGCCACCCAGGCGCCCCATCTAAACAATATTTTTAAGCCATTCTTAGAAATTTATTTCCCAATTGATTCTACTCTATCTTGAACATTAAAATTTCTTCAATATCAAAACTATACAATGAATTAGATTTGCAAAGCTAGAACAAAAATCAAATTTTTAAAGGTTTAAAACAAGAAACATTTTACACTGTGATGCAAATTGATGTTTAAAATGCACATTTTAAATGAATTCAGTGTTTTTAAATTGGCTAATACTTGGGGCTTTTAAAAACTTATGTGAGGTTTCTATCCAGAAAAGCCAATACTTGACCTTAATTTCATTTTTAAGTTACAGGAAAGTTTTATTACAGAAAGACATTTTCTATTTAGAAAGCTCATCAAGAGTATATCTGGAAAATAGCTACCCATTTCATAGCTTTATATGACGTCGCTTTAATTGTTTATTTAAATCACAAATATTTTTGAGAGTTAGAAAGAGTCCTAGGACCTTTAAATTCAAGACCTTAGACTTGTTTGTTTGTTTTTAAGTTTTATTTTTAAGCAATCTCTACATCCTACATGGGGCTCTAACTTACACCTCCAAGGTCAAGAGTCATGTGCTCTTTTGACTGAGCCTTCCGGGTGACCCAAAACCTTACACTTTTGTATGTATTTAAATGATTTCCATCTAAGACCCATATCTGTTAAGTAAATTATGAGAATATTTTCAACAGTCCAACTTTTTGCTTTTTGCTTCATTGAACTTAGGAACAGAAAATATTCCCCAAATCTTCACCTTATGTATATGATCTCATTTACTCTTCACATCAGACCTATAAGGGAGATAGACTCTTACCTGCCCTGCAAATAAGGAAACCAAGATTTTGAAGGCTAAGTACTTTGTCCAAGTGCACATGACCAGTAACATCAGCGCTAGTTGTAAATGGAGGTTGCCAGACTCCACTGGGAGGTCTCTGAAGGGCTGGATCTCAGTTCCTGTATAGAGTTAATATATTTATGCCAGTAAATACTTATTGTTGGGGACTCCAGCACAAGCTAAAAGAAAGAAGCAATTTGGATGCACCCACAACCACACTCAGACTAGAAGCATCAAATATGTCTTTAATGCAACAGACACCCCAAAAAATGAAATATATCAGAGTTAACCAAAACTTTTTGAGCTGATAATTTTGTTTATCCCATAATTGTTTTGATAAGTCTTTCCTCCGTGCTATAATTCTTACATTTTCTTAAGAAATAGATTCTGTGGGATCAAACTAATACATGTACAGTAAAATATTATACAAGAAACAGAAAAGCGCCGTTCCAGTCAGATAAAAGATAATAAAAACATCAAGAGTCATGTCAATCAAAAGGCTCTGTTGACTGGCGAACCCAATCTATGGATGGACCCAATTATCTGCAGGAGAATTGATGTCAGCATCATTTAGGGTTAACAATGGACCAACTAGGCAGAAGCAGACAGCTACTCTCTGTAGAGACCCAGAAAGCAAACTTGGTAATGAGGCGCTTCATTCATCATACCCTTCTGCTCTAATTATTAAAGTGAATAGGAAATACTTTAAGTTAAGGCGGGAACCGGGTAGCATAAAAACATTTGTTTTGTAAACACAAAGAATGCTTTTTTTCTAATGATCTTCTTCAAATCTACATCAAGCATATGTTCTCAGCACACTATTTTCTAAAGTCGCTCTTCTAACGTCACAAACTCATTCTGACTGTGAATGAGTTGATTTTGTTATCTCAAAAAGGGAGGCTAAGACTGCTAAGAATCTACAATTTTAATTCCTATTCTCAATATAAGAAGGGGGGAGGGTCATAAGTACATATATAACCACAGTACATGTTCCACCTCTGTCTCCTATATCAAAATGGCCCAAATATATATATATATATGTATATATATATAGCATAATATATAATAATATAATATATATATTGCAGTGTCATCTCTAAAAGTACTGAATGAACAGTCTAATTTAACTTACTCTGGTTCATTTTTTCTTAGGATCATTTGATCCTTGTCAAGAATTGTGAAAGAATAAGGTAGAAGAAAATATGGGAATGGTTTGTTTATACAGTGTTTATATAAGTAAACTTATATATTGCCAATCATTTAAAATTGCTTGGAATGGAAATTATTTGCTCTATTGAAGATAAGGAAAAGATAAAGTCCAAAAGGAAGAAAGAGCAAGAAGGTGAGGAAAATAACTGTTGCCAGAGCAAAAATTAACTGAAGCTTGAGAAAAGCAGTCATGAGACCAAAGGAAGATTCCCTGGAGAAAAGCGTGGTAGCTTCAGTTCGGTTTTTTAAGTGTTTTCAACTGACAGTCAGTAGCTAATTTTTTTCTATTAAATTTGTTCACAGGGCCATTTTATATAAATGCTCCATGTAATTTTTTCTGAGCTACGGTTCTTCAATTTAAAGTAAATGGAAGGTTTGGTTAAGTATAGTAATGTTTTTAACCATCCCTGCCTGTTCTACTGAAGTTAATGTTCAGAAGTATCCGCAGATGCTACTTTTAGCAACTAAATATTTCCATGGTGGTAAAGAAATGTCAGTAAAATCTATGTACTTTAAGAACATCAAATTCTTATTATACTTATCATGTGTGCAGGCAGAGTACATAATAAACTAGTCTATAGCAGCTGTAAATTTCTGAGGATTTATCTAACCACAAATACATTGAAATGGGGAAATGGGGCTATATTAAACCATGCAAGATGCTGCTGGAGCTTTGCCATTTCTGCAACATCCTGTAATTAATTTATCATGACAGGTCTGGCAAACTGAAACATCCAATACACTTGCGACAGACTGTTATACCATAGTTGCTGGAGATCCTGCAGCCACATAAAGGGAAGGTAGATTTTTCTTTCAAATATGAATATAGTACTATTGTATTTAGAATGCCCTATAGCCAAGGACAGACTTGCTATCACTTTTGAATTCCAAAATAGAAGAACATCAAGAATAGAGAACAGATCCTGGGCTGAGATAATGAGTTTAGTCTGTTCTCTGCATTTTGTGGTCTTTTCCTAAAGATGGATGGCCCTGGGTAGGAGACTCATAC